AATAATAATAATAATAATAATAATAATAATAATAATAATAATAATAATTGAGCACACCAGTTTTTTTTTTAACTGTTCCAGAATTATTTCACGTTTTAAGAAAAGCATGAATGATGAGGCAGGATTTATTTATTTATTAACTTTAATAAATTCAGAGTTTTCAAATCTCCTAATTGAATAAAATAATAAATAGATCAATAATTAAATTAAGTAATCAATAATATTGTTTGTTTTTATTATTAATATTTGTGCACGCCACTGTTCCACAATTAGTCCACGTTTTAAGAAACCATGAATGCTGAGGCTGGATGGATTAATTATTTAAATTAATTCAGAGTTTTCAAACCTCCCAAGGTCATAATAATAATACATAAATAAATAAATCTAATATGTTTTTATTATTAATATTATTTGTTTTTATTGTTAATATTTGTGCACGCCTCTGTTCCAGAATTAGTCCACGTTTTATTTTACACACATGCATGCATGAAAGCAAAAAGCCTGACTAGTGTGCACACTAAACTCACGCAGAGGTGTGTCTGCAGTGACGTTTGCTGCATATTTATAGTATGCATGAATTCTGGGTCACACTAAACTCACTAAAAGATCATGAAGGCGTGACCTTTCATCCGAAATCCTAAATCCTCCAAAAAGACATGAAAGAAAACATGTAAATATTCTGAGATGAAGGACGCTATCAGATTATATCTGTCTACATGCACGTCTGCAACATCTTATTTATTTATTACGGATCATTTTCCCAATACTGCTGAACAAGAACTAGAAGAACACATTCAGCTTTACTGCAGCTTTTTATATACTTTAATTTGAATAATGTGTTAGTACATCATATTAATGAACGAACCATTAACATCTGCAGTTATTAATTACTGTTAATTATAGAAGATTTAAAAACTACTGCAACAAATGACTTCATTTAATAATCATAAGCGTATGAAGAGTGCGTGTTTCAGTAAAGTGAGTTACCATAAGAACACCACTATGACCAATAATAGATCTGTATAATATTCAGAATAAGGGAATAAAGATGTCTAATGCTCATGAAAGTGACGTGTTTAATGTCTTCGTCTTTTTTCATTCATTCATTTTTCTTTGGAGTCCTTTTATTCATCAGAGGTCGCCACAGTGGAATGAACCGCCAACTATTCCAGCATATGTTTTACACAGCGGATGCCCTTCCAGCTGCAACCCAGTACTGGGAAACACCCATACACACTCATTCACTCACTCACACACACACACACACAACGGCAAGTTCAGTTGATCAGTTCCCCTATAGCGCATGTGTTTGGACTGTGGGGGAAACCGGAGCACCCGGAGGAAACCCACGCCAACACGGGGAGAACATGCAAACTCCACACAGAAACACCGACTGACCCAGCCGAGACTCAAACCAGAGACCTTCTTGCTGTGAGGCCACAGTGCTAACCACTGAGCCACCCCTATTATTATTGTTTTATAATTTGAATAATTAATTATTTATTGAAATTTTAATGTTTTTACATCGTTTTATCGTCTACATGAAGCAGAGTTTGCTGAAGACTTTTATTCAAGTGTGATGATATATTTACAACTGAAACTGAACATTAAGTTGGGGCGGGGTTTTGTTTTTAGCCCCGCCTCTCATCGTTCACTCACAGCAAACTAACTAAGGAGGGGGTGTGGCTAAGCATATTTCCCTCAATCAGAATCTTCAGAAAAGAACTGCCATTGGTCAGATTTACTTTGATTAACCGCATCATCAAAACAATCAAGTGGATTCACTTACACACGTTATTCATTGTTCAAGATGTGCATTTTCAAAACAAGCATTGATCAATTCAGGCTTGACTTTATCTGCTCAGAATACACAATATATTCAGTTACTTATAATAGACTTGCCTTTAATACTGTACATCTATTCAATAGTTAACAATATATATTGTCCATAATAATCTGAATATTTAGATTTTCAAACAATAAAAACATTCATATCATTTATCAAGACACAAATCCCCCAAAAAAGCGCTCAGCCTAAATGAGTTGAAAATTCATCTTTTAAATGACAAACTACAGTATTTCAGCAATATTAAAAAAGTGCATTGCGTATGTTTGACACCCGGTGGTTGAACTAGGTATTGCACCCATGGATGAAAACTCATGCAAGTGCAGGTTGCCAGGTTGAGGACCAACAGAAGCGAGTCTGACTATCGAGCCTTGTGGAAATATAAATTTCTATCATCTAATTCCAAATGAACAATAATCTACGTATAACTGAAAAGTTATAT